GGCTGGTAGATTAACATTTATTCAGTGTGCTAAAGGGATTTGAAACATGGCATCAACCGTTTGTGTTTGGCAGATGGCCGGAGGAAGAGTGTGTTAACACTTCAACTCAAATCAGCCCTTTCCAAACTGTGCTAGAGTGAGATGGAGAGATGGGTAGTGAAAAGAATGTGTTGGTGTGTGCAGAGGGGAGAAAGAGGAGGGAAAGATAAGTGTGACAGAGAAGCCACAGAAAGTCAAATGTCCTTACAAGGATGGAAAGATTATCACAGCTGCCTCTGAGGGGACTTTTAGGGTCAGATCTCGGGTTTTGGTTTAAGCCTCGTAAAGCTGGGCCACAAATTTAGCTCCGCTCGCTGTGATCTGCTGAGGCTCAAGTATTTGCCTGGGTTAGAGGTGCTGTAACTGAGTGGAGACCAAAGTGATTTTCCAGGGGACGATACCAGATAACCAGTTAACATTTAGTCATTTGTACTTCTTTTTCTGTTTGAATTAAACCTGAAGCCGTCACGCTGCCTCCGTTTTGCTCACCTCAGCCAAACCAGCCTATCAGTAAATAAGATGACATTCACTGATGGCGGTGGCAAATACTTTTCTGTTGTGTAACTTAAATTTTTGTGCTGGCTATGAAGCAGGGTTGAGGCTAACAGCATATTGTCGTCCTGGGGACAATGAAAAACCTGCTTGGGTTGAAAAGAATCTTTCCCGGCAACTCGGTCTAAATCTGAAGTCGTTGAAAACTGGCACTTGGTCAGTGACTTTCGGCATCAGACACAAATGAAAAAAGCCGTCCTTTCTTGTTGGCATAATACGCAGCCGGTTGCTATTATAGTTTATTGGTATCCGGTGGAATCAGGAAGAAACGCAGCAGGACAACAATGAAAGTTAAGGCGGTGAAAGTCCAATAGGGTGGGTGAGAGAGATCGTGGATGGGTCCAAAAACCACGGACTTTCACCCTGGAGGCCGGTGTTTGCTTCCTGTAAGATGGTAAAGCCAAACCCTGTTCTTTTTTTCTTAAACATAACCACGTTTAATCCCTGACGATGCTAAATTGTGAACAATCCGTATTGAAAGTAGCAGGAGGAGAGCTAGTTAATGTTAGCTGTTAAGTAGGGATGCACCAAGTTATCAGCTGACAATTGGTATGGACCAATATCCGCCTTGGTGACTGCCGTCGGCCTATTAGCAAATAAGATGACATTCACCAATGACAGTGGCAGATGTTTTTCTGTCCTGTCACATCAGTTTTGCGCCACTTAAAAAGCAAAGCCCAGACTATCGGCCGCAAACTGAAACTAATAAGTAGGCAGAAGAAGAATAGATTGACTGGCTACATTGGGTGGATGGGCTCTGTGATCTGACTGTTGTGTGACAAGATGGCTAGTAGCAGCGAGCTCTTCCCCGGGACATCTTTGGGAGAACAGGACACAGTAAAGGAGAGCTAGAGCTAGTTACCGTTAGCTGCTAGCAGCCTGTGGCACTGAGTTGCATTATGATGCGTTCAAGCTCTGTTTAGTAAATATGATGATTGGGCGAAGGTTAATACTGTAATAACATCATCATGATGTGTTCATATGCAATCCTGTAAAATGTACTTTTTGGCAAGAAATTTAAATAAATACAGCTGTTTGAGGGAGAAATTTGTTGATGCTTTCAGAATGTATAATAGATATTAGAAAGGGAAGTATGATTTATTTTAAACAGTAAAAAGACTTCTGAAGCAGCTTTTCAGTGTGAAAGAAGGTGATATTAAAGGTTGTTTCATACTTTGTATGGTTGAATTTGTGCTTATTCAAAGATAGTGTTGTTAAAGGCTGAATGACTTTATACCAGTTCAGTTATTTTCTTTATAATGAAGATTTCTCTGGCACAAACGGGGAATAAATAACGGCTATTGGCCAATGTTTTATTTTAAACATCTGCATTGGCCCAGAATTTTTCAATTGGTGCATCCCTAGAATATATTGTTTTAGAACAATTAAAGCAAATATTAATAAAAAGATAGTGAGAATGAAGATTAGGGTTGGTGGCAAGGAAACATGGTCCCATAGCAGAACTACACAGTGTGTTGGAGACAGTTGATCCTATTGTGAGGCGGTTTGCTTGGTGATTGTTGCTCTCAAGCTCCAAAACAGAAGGCAAATCCACTGTTGAAAAGGGGAAATGAAGTTCAATCTAACTGAAGAAAAAAGACTGAAGACCCTTTTACCCATATTTAAAGTTTTAGCTGCAGTCAGTCAGTCTGCCTGTCTCCCCACATTTTCTTGTTCTAATAAAGACAGCGCACAAAGTCGTTTCCCCGGGGGCCTTTTAAAACATTTTCTCAAGAAAATGAGCCTTTGTACAATCACAGCAAGCAAGATGGACAGTTTCCATTACCAGGCCCTTGTAATTAAAGGATTTGTACTAATAGCAAATTTATCATAATTCCTGTTGGCTATCAAGTCCTTGACAGGCTATTTCATTTCAGTGCAATGTTTCATTTTAAAGCCTTCAGGTTAGTGCAATGTCTTTGCCTTGACATCTAAACCCTCGTAATGAGGTTGTGTATACGCACGGATCTGTGCGTGCAATCACACACACACACACACACACACACACACACACACACACACACACACACACGCACACACGATCTGCAAAATGTAAGCACACAAGCACAGTCCTCTGGATTATGCCCGTCATGTGTGTGCATGTGGGTCTAATGGCACAGACAAATGCAAATATGCACACACACTCATCCAATAAAACTTCAACCAAACAATCTGCTTCTACTGTTCTCTCCTGATAGAGGCCGGAGGTGGCCTAACAAGCACACGTACGCACACACAACATACAATCAGGCATCACTAGTGCATATGAAATCACAGCAAACACTTGACATATTACACAGCATCATATTCACATGCTAATTCACACTCTAATGGCCAAACGCACACACACACACACACACACACACACACACACACACACACACACACACAGTGGTACTACATGCAGCATGTGCCTCACTCTGCACATCATTACAGCAGCCTGCCTTTGCTCCAAAATGAAGCTTCATTCTGACAAAAGTCTCTGTGAATAAAACAGAGGCTGCAGGCTTTGATCATAAGGAAGGATTGAAATAAAATCCCTCTGCAAACTGAGTTATTTTTTCACCACAGTAGTTTCCTGTATCAGACTCACAGAAGTTTAGGAAATGAGTGTGAATGCACTTTGATATTATATTTTGAAAAAATATGACTCTCATTAAACTCTGCATATTTATATTCTATTTTCTATCAAACAACCTGTTTAGCTTTAATTGAATCTCTACGTCAGAGGTAGTGTGAATGTCAACTGAAGTAAAGTGTTATCCCTTAAAAAGTGTGCAGTGTATTTCTCCTCACTGATTCGTTTACCAAAACCAAGTTCTGCTGGCATCTGGCTCTCAGCAGGTGGTTACGTCCAACAGTACGATACACCCAGAGCTGGAGGGAGTCATCGCTGACTTGTTGAAGGACACTTCAGTAGGGCAGATGGTTGCCAACACAGAGGTTTGGACCTGTGTCCTCCAGCTGAAGGGCAGTCTCTTTACACAGTGCACCTGGTACCTCAGCATGTTTTATTAAACCAGTGGTTGGATCTCAGCTTTTTCTCTCCTTGGCAGTCAGTTCAATGAATTAGTGTCGACAAAACTCTCTCTTAGTTTTGATACTGGGTCCTGCACACTGCCTTAACTTTGAACCAATAACAAAACTGCATTGTTTGTGACTTGTGAAGTACTTGAAGATTATTATTAAAACTAGGAAATATTCAAATAAAGCGTTAAGATTCTCTACCCAGCCCCGTTCTGTCTCTGTGGCTATCCTCTAACAGATGTGAGCAGCCCAAGCGGCAATTACTGGGGATGAAAAATGAAGCCGACAGGAAGTGGCAAAAACTGCAGTTATTTGAATGGCCACTTGAGGCTGGTTCCAAAAGCCAGTCAATCCCCATAGACACCCATGCTACTTAACAGCAGCAAGGAACATGCGTAGAACAAGGGTGTTTGTCTCAATAGCTACTTTCTCTGTTCATGCCAACTGTAAATGTAATTAAGGCTCAACTTTATGTGAAATTAGGGGCGTGGCCACTCTGAGTGACAGGTAGGTGCCTTACTTTGAGCGTCGTACTTGCATTTGGCCATGTCGTCAAGCTAGTTTGTTGTCTGTCAAATAGCTGTCTGTAAGTCATTAACTCTTCAGCAGGAAACACTTCAAAATAAAAGCTCTGTGCCCGAAATTAACTGCACTTGAAAATAAAGTGTGTTTTTTACAAACAACACGTTAAGGATCGCAACGCACCAGTTAGGAACCACTGGGTTATGGTGTAACCTCAGATTGCTAATGCTAAACTCTTGTTTAGCATTTGGTTGTACTAAAAGACTCTAAGGAGGCAGATGTTCAGTTTTTCTGGCAAGTACATTTTGTTTTAGTTGTTTTAAGCCTGTTTTTTTTGCTGGTGAAAATTTGCATAAGCTTTAATATTATTGCAGTTAACTAAAGCTGTAACTGCATTGTGCTGACCAAGCTAGCAGGTAGCATTAGGGTTAGCTCCACCCTCTAACCCAAATTTGGTCACTTCTGGCTCCAAAAATCCAAGATGGCAACTGTCAAAATGCTAAACTTGAAGCTTCAAAAATGTGATTCCACGAACCAGCAGGTGACAACATGAGTGATTACCTCTATTATTATAAACAGTGTATGGACGAGCCATGAAAAATGAAACAAACCAAACCATGCTTCAGTCAGGCTGGACACTTACTGGAGATAAAGAAAGGTATCAAGTTGCACCAGAGCAGACCAACTACACTACATGACTTGAAATAAACCACACTGAACCAAACCAGACTGACCCAAACCAAACCAAACCTCACCAAGATCAACTAAAGTTCAAACTGAGCTAATCAACATCAACACCAGAATCATTAGCAGCAGAAAGTTCTGCATGAGTCCTCCATCTATGTCATTGCAGTACTCACAAGCGATGATGTTGCCATAGCGATTCTTGTTGCGGTTCTCGTCCTTCTTGGCAGTCTCCCAGGGCGCCGTCTGTCCCTCTGCCAGGGCCTGAACATTCACATGTACAAGTACACACACACACACACACACACACACACACAAACACACATATTGAGGTATGAGCACAGAAAATATGCACGCACATATGGCCTGATGCCCAGAGCTTGTACACTGACACATGGGCAGGCAGAAGTTAAAATAGTAACATGAATATTAATGAAAAGACAGTCGGCTGATAGTTTGCAGCTGACTCTTCACCACTTTGGGCAGCGAGGGGTTGATGGTTGAAACATAACAGACATTTTCAGAAGATGGCAGAGCTTGCAGGCAGGCCACATGTGATTCAACTTTTACAACTAGCATAACCAAATAAAAATGTGAGATAGGATGTAGACCTGGCTGTTGTATAACTTTTTTTTGGTTAGTTGGTTGTGACTCCATGTTGTCATTCTGATTATCCAATGCTTTCCTCTTCATTCTACAAACTCTAATATTTACCCATAATTTAATTGAGTTGGTCTCACTGTCAGATGTTGGCAGGGATAGATCTGTCTGGAGGTGACACTTAAATATAATTTGAGCTCAAAACACAGTTTCTGAAAGTATAAAATGTTTATAAAGCAGAATATTGAGCTGGGTTTTCACAGTGGTAGCAGTATTAGCCTGTATATGTGAAAGCAATAATAACAGCAATTGCTGAGAGTATAAAAATGGATCTAGGAATCACTCAGCTGTTTCCTTCATTGTTAGATTTCCTGATTTAGTTTTCTCTTTAAAGTACATAAAAGCAGTGCTGCTCATTAGCCGACTTAAATTTCCAAAATGTTAGACCTTCTGGCTAGAACGTGAAAACAGCACAGAAGTTATGGAGAGAAATATTCTACCGGGAGAAATCCCAGTTCTATCAACCCCAATCAGGTCAGTCTATCCTTTGGCCAGGTAACTGCCCACCAGATTTCAGCCAACTCTGGGATACTTTACTAATCAACAGACCAAGAGGCTGGGGTGAAAACATAACCGCCCCCCCTCCCAACTTTATTGGCTTGAATTCCTCCACTGAATTACAAAGCAAGCAGAAGCGAGAGGCACCTTGACAGTGGATGGAACAAAATATGTTCCTGGACGTCTGAAATGAAAAAGTGCAGGTAGAAAAATACGGGAGTTGAGAAAAGACAAAAAGTTTGGGTTTATTGTTCTGTTGGTTTGGTCTGAGAGAGAGCATTGTGTGAGCCCTTTGTTGGAGGAGAGAAGACAGATTGTCCTTTCTCCCTGCTGTGATGCTGGCCCGTGTGACAAGCCCAACAAACAGAGCAAGGGCAAAATTTGCACGTGTTCATGTGTGTGCATGTATGTACTTCATGTGTCATGAACACATATACACACAGCACAACTTTGCCTCTACGCACTGTGATCTACAGGTAATAGTGTGTTTAAGTGTGTGAATGTTCTTTAATTTGGCATGCAAACGCTTTATGTGCATATCCCATAGGTGTACATCATAAAATGCGTGTGTGTGAGTGAGTGAGTGAGTGAGTGAGAGAGAGAGAGAGAGAGAGAGAGAGAGAGAGAGAGTGTGTAAGATCACTTTCAAGCTTTTGCTAAGCAACCAAACCCCAACTCTCAAAGGTCGCCATATGGACACTGGACTATTTTAGAACAACTATTATAACACACTGGAAGAGGTCACACACACACATGAACACACACACACACACACACACACACACACACACACACACACACTGCCTATAGGGACAAGTAAACTGTCCTTTTTGAGTCCATTAAGGGCTTAAGAAGACCAGACAACAGCTTTCACTGTTAGACAGTGACATGACCTATATACACACATGCGCGCACACACACCCGCACACACATGCACACATGGAAGCATGGACATGCACACTATACTATACAAATGCACTGTGACGGAAAAACAGACACCTATACTTATTGCTCTATCAAGCAGAAAATGGATTCTTTTAAAGTGGCACATGGGGGAGAGAGAGAGAGAGAGAGAGAGAGAGAGAGAGAGATTGTGTGTGTGTGTGTGTGTGTGTGTGCGTGCGTGCGCGAATCTACTGTATGTGTGATTTTTCTCGGTCACATACATTCACATTCAAAAATAGGCTGAAACTGTTTTTAAACATTTCAAGTAGGAGGCTTCTGTAGGAGGGTTACGCATGTATGTGTGTGTGTCTGTGTGTGTGTGTGTGTGTGTTCATTTGCATAAGGTGTGGGTTGGCTGCCCTTTTTCAACCAAAAAAAAAAAAAAAGAAAGAAAGACAGTCTTAATCAAACTCCTCTCATCTGAATTGCGTCGCTTTTTGGGATTATTAATGTTCTATATAAAACAGAGCAGGGTGGGTGGACAAAGGACAAGTAACACACACACACAGACACACACACACACACACACACACACACACACACACACTGCCTCTGTTTTACCCATTAGAGCATACTTTCTCTGTCTGTTATGTTTCTCTCTGCAATCAGGTTCGAATTACTAAAATAAGTCTATTTAAAATCTCATCAGACTGAAACATGTTGGAGTTACACATCAGAAATATTTTATAAAATCCAGATTTACAGAGGATCAGCTGACGCAACTACTGACAGTGTTGTCTGTTCAAACCTTTGGCCCCTTTTGCACATATCACGCTGTTAGGCTGCCTTGCCATTCCGCATAAAAGATACAATTGCGATATGGGGGAAAAGAGTTGTCTCGTCTCCGAGCCAGGAATGGAGGTAGCAACAGCGCTGCAACAGTGTCTGTATTGATGTGTTATGCACACAACCTATCGCAGGAGATTTAAAAAGTAGCTGTTAGCAGTTAGCGGCTAACTCAAGAAAAGAAGAACATCAGCCGAAAATGTCCGCAAATCGGGAAAACAGTGAGGTCTGGGAGCTCCTTACCCTCTGAGCAGAGGACAGGATCAGCCGCCATATAACAGAGACAGTAAATGATCATTATTGCCATGTTATGCCCTTGTTATTGTTATCGAGTGTATCGACTTTTACACGAGAGAGCGGTGTTCGCGTCCCGTAAGATTATAAAGCCAAACCCTGTTTTTTTTCCTAAACCCATCCATGTGTGTTTGTTGTTGAAGGGAAAAAAAACCAAACATAATTTTCCAGTGTGTTGTTTTTTTCCTGGATTTCAAGGCTACATTACATTACATTACGTTAGTGATGTAATTTTCAGTCAACCCCACAATATCCTCACAAAATTGATAACGAGGTACTGATAAAAAATATTGTGATATTTCATTTCCTTCATGTTCATACTGTTTTCTTCAGGTTTATCATATGGAAAAGCTCATTGTTAAGTTCAACCAACCAACACTATAGGCCACATATGATCACAGGTCAGGACATATGGGGCCACAGTAGTTAACCTGAGCAACCGGCCAGTCTTCAAACAATGCAGAATATTCCTTTTAATGCAAAGTATGTAATCCCAGTGGGGAGCGACATGTTGACAGTGAGGCTGCTGTCTGTGTTAGTGGGGTTAATGGGCTTCAACACTGGAGGTCACATCACACACAGACGGGGACAAGGAGATACCATATGGGATGTGGTGGCAGACACACATACACACACACACTAATGCACAAAATGCTCATGGACATAACCGTAAAAGCACCTCACCTCAGAAGCACTATTCTAACCTGACTGGAAAAAACAAGCATCCAACTGGGGCTGTACTGAACAGTTTGAAGCTTCATTCATAACACTGATCATATTCTAGATCATCATTCAGATGCTGCGCAGACTCTATTTTGTTGTGCATGTCTATTCATTCTGTGTAAACCCAGATTAAGTTACACGAATAGAAACTTGTTAGTGATATACTGTTAGTAGAGTTAGATTCAAGTGGTAGCTGCTAGGGATGTAAAGATCCATCGATTTTGATCGGTATATTGATTTAATTATCAGTGATCCAATACCATCGATGCAAAGTGAAAACATTGTTCCATATCATCACCTTTAGGATACTCCTTTATTTTAAAAGTCTGTCACCATCAAATGGCGCCAGGCAGATAATGGCAAGCAGCCAAGAAAAAAATGATAAGGATAACGTTATTTACTCGCTAATAAATCAGCAGCGTCTAAATATTTTGAGATTTCGGAGAACATATGGGCCACAGACAGAACACATGTTGTATGTAAACAATGCTGTTATCTGACTGGACTCTGCTAACTTCTTGCAGCAACATTAGCTGCTCAGTCTCAACAATGTAAGGCTTAAAAAAAAATGGGCATGCAGGCTGAAATTTGAGTGTGTTGGTCTTTCAGGAGATGCACTGACTTAATCTAACAGTGAATAAGAAAAAGTATAATTAACACATGTAATTAGGTAAACTACAGAGGAAAAAACGCTAGCTACTGGGCTAATTTATGCAATGTAAAAGCAATCTGGAAAGCCATTGGTTGAAAAAAAAAAAATCGCCGTGTTGTTTACAAATACTTCGGGTAGAAAACCAGCAGAGTTTAGCTATATATCACATTTTTCATGTCACTGTATCACTGTGTAGACTAATCTGATGTTTGTAAAGTCTATAAACACAATGATTGAACAAACGTTACTATTTCTGTGTGCACATTTTGTAATTAATAACATGGTTTTGTATATTAGCTGGGCTAACCGTTAGCTGTTAACGTTAGCCATTAGCGGTGTCTATAATAACCACAGACCGTATAAAAATAAGGTAATAACTCAATAAACGGTCCGTGAATAAAATATTTTTTCCAGCAGATATCTTAGTTACAACATGATTGAGCTAGCAAAGCAGTTTTGTGTTGCTATGTGTGGTATTTTTTCAGTTATGGGAACTCACGATGTCTAGAAAGCATCAGTGGCTGCAGCTGACAGGGACAGTTAGCAAACCTAACATCAGGATGTCATCTGTTAAAAGCTTCCCGTTGTCGGATACGACATGAAACTACTCCAGTTAGCTCAATCATGTTGTAACTCAGACATCCGCTGGAAAAAATATTTTTTTTCACGTTGACGAGCCGGCGTTTTGGGTGGAGCGGTCGCTATGGACGCGGAGCTTGCTGTTTCTGTAGGTACACATTTCCTGGGGACACCTGCACGTCTCGGCCATGCCCCTTCCATTGTGATTGGCTAAAGTGCAGCATCGTTCAAACTCAAAGCCACGCCCTCCCCCCTCTCTAGTCGTCTTTCACACAGGGCTGCCGACAGATTCTACAATGTAAATTGCAGAATCTGTCTTGAGAGATTAATGTAAAAGTGCTAAAGCTAATTATGGGTGACAAGCAAAATAATACATCTTGGACGTCTTGGAACCTTGACAGTTATCATCGAGCCAAATTTTATAATGTTTTGAATGATCTTGTTAATACGTGATTTATGGCTGTTGAGAGCGGTTTGTCTAGTTTTAGGAAAATTATCATTGTTTGGCTCAAAATAAAATCTTCTCTCTGTCAAAAAGCCCTGAAGGTTAACTTAATTCATGTGCTGTTTTTTGGGTCTTAGTGGAGTTAGTTTAAAGTACACTCTACTGCATGTAAACAATGATAGATATTCACAATTATTCATGTGTTGTTTTTATGGCCAAAAGCAAATAAAGGAAAGGGTTGGCAACTTTTTCTTTGACCAACTGTGTTAAATGGGCAAATTATATCCTCTTTTATGAACTGCAGTCCAAGACGAACTTCCCTATGAAGACAATAAAGTATATATCCCATCATATCACATTGCATCACATCGTATCGTATCGTATTGTATCATAAGCAATTGTGTTAACAAGGCTGACTAGCAGTGATCTAACAGCACCATAAATTACACTTATTAATTTAAGCAAGTTAATTTAAATTAAACTAATTTAATTTGATGGATTGCTTTATTCAAACTGAGGATGTTCTTTGAGAATCTTTCAGGGAGATATAGACAGACGGTTGAAGGTTTATTTGAAAACCTCATTAGAAGCTTCAAAAAATGACATTCGGTACAGTCCTACATCCATTTATATACATGAACACATACACACTTTAAATAGACAGAGACAGACGATGAGAATATAAATACAGTTTGTATAATGTGTGTTTGGGTTTATGTCTGCTTCAGTGTATGTCTTTCTCCATTAGCTGCTAGCGACAGGTGGCAGCTAGCAGCACTACCTAATAAAGCTCCATTCTCTGTTTCACTCACACATACAGGCACACACACACACACATACACACACACACACCCTTGAGAATAAATCACATTTGCTCTCCCCTGAAACGTATCAGTGGGTATAAACCAAAATGACAGGAAGCAAATGAAAATATAACGTACGGCATCAAGAAGGGACAATTTTCAACACGCATGCAGAGTTGGTAATAGAAAATATTCAATCTTTTGAGAGAGGGAGGGACAAAGACTCTTCGCCGTGTCTTTTCAAAGATTCATTTTCAGCGGCGGAGACAAAGCAAATGAAGAAAGAATAGAGTGACGACAGAGAGGAAGAAGGGTTTGGTGTGGGGATAAGTGAATGAAAGCGAGGGGATGAGGATTTGGAAGGAAAATGATCCCATGGAAGAGCGCCCATGACAAAGAATGACTGTAAAAATGTCTGTTTATGATAAACTGTGCTGTACACAAACAGTCAGCCCAGGCACAGATGGGAAGACAAAGTTAAAAAAAAAAGCACAAGACAGCAAGGGGTGGGAGACGGTAATAAGGGAGACTGAAAAAGGCAGATACTTGGGACGGGCTGAAGGAGATGAGAAAAAGAAACAAGAAAAGTAGAGAGTTATACAGGATTTGTACTCCTGCGCTGAATTGATGCCATTATCTATGGCGTAGGCTCTGCGTCAATGAAGAACCTACGGCATAGACTGACGTGCACCACCCCAGAAATGTACGTCACAGCAATGCAGCACTCCTGTCTATTTTTGTAAGCTGAAACCATTTCCCTCAGTGGAAACAAAGCTTTTATTTACTTTAATTTCACAGATAAGAAACAATAAATTGTGAAGACAATAAAGCCTCCAAGAAAACAGCATTTTAAGTCTTGTGTGTGATTTATCCTGGCTTCATATAAGCAAAGGAAAATTCTGCTAGCCGCTAGGCTAATTTATACAATGTAAAATGCCACAGGCTTGTGCTAATAACGTTAGCATATTATATTTGTTTGGAAAATGTGTTTAGTATAAGACAGTTGTTTTGTCAGTGAACCTTGTGAGTTGTAATGGAGCAGATTTTTATAACATTACCTTTGTTAAATGTTGCTGTTGTCCCTGGTTTCATATGAGTAGTGGAAAAATCTGCTAGCCGCTAGGCTAATTTATACAATGTAAAATGCCATAGGGTTGTGCTACAAACATTAGCATGTTGTATTTGTGGGGAAAATGTGTCCAGATAAAGACAAGTGTTTGTCAGTGAATGCTGCGAGTTATAGTGAAGCTGATTTGTGTACTTGTGTTTGAAATTGTCTCTATTAAGTCATGTTTAATGTGTGTTTTGAATCAACTAAACTTTACAGCACTTCATAGAAACCCCACCGCCAACTAGTGTTTTGAGGTGTAACTGCAGAGTGACACAGACGCACCACCACACAAGTATAAATGCTCACAACAGTGTAGGCCACGTAGGTAGGCTATGGTGTAGGCTCTCCATAGTGCTGACGCACAAGTATGAATCCTGTTTAATAAACACATTTGGCATAAGGACAAAATAAAAGGAGGATTCGAGCAGAGCCAAGAGGGAGGGGGCAAATGATTTTTGGGGAAGAGAGCAGGGGAGAGGACTGGGGAAATGATGAATGTGCAGAAACTAACTTGAGACAAAATGACAGAAAAAACACACTGAAGGAGAAAACAATTATATAACTGGTGATGAAATTCACGAAAGAAAAAAATTAAATCAAGAAAGATATAACGAAACAAAAAAGTAAGAAAGGAACTGTAGGGGGGGCATAAAGTTTGTTTTACTGTCTGTTTGCTTTTTTTTATCATCAATATTAATGAGGGAAAGACTTAATAATTGATAAGAGTCTTCCGTCCTCATGAAACCAAATCCAATCCCACAATCTCTGCTGTTCATACACAAATACATACACACACACATGCTGCACAACTGGCGAGCAACATAAGGGAGGCAGAGGAAATATGGATGCCACGTTCGCAGAATAAAGGAATCTAATTACTAAGCAGGAGATGCAATCATCATTAATTTTTTTTCTTTAAAATTTATTGAATTGTAAATTGAAAACTGATCGTCTGTGCCGAGGGAAAGACTCAAGCATTATTCTACAGAGGAACATTAATACTTACAGGTTTTCCTCTTAAATGTTTTTTCATGCTAATAACTGATTTGTGATATGCTGAATGTGCATATTAAGGCAGTCCAAGAGGAGGTGCACATTAATAATCCTCCAGGACTGTAACATGCTCATGCGTAATGCGACTTCAGTTGGTTCAGATCCAGGTCGGAACACGTTCTCACCACAAACGAACTGCACCATAGTTTGTTTGTAACCGGCCCGAGACCACCTCTTCAAGAAGGTCTCGGTCTGGTTGTTTTGGTGCACACCTGAGTGTGACTGCTGTGTTCACACCTGCCCAAACAAACTTCAATTAGGGGGCAAACAAACTTGAATTCAATTGAACTGAACCAAACAGGGCAGGTGTGAAAGTACCCTCAGATTTTTTTTATTGTGGAGTAAAGATCATCTTGGTGCAATTTGAATATATTTTTCAGACAAAAGGCCTTTGATTTTTTAAAATGTGTCAGTGCACAGCTGACTTCTGTTCAGGGTCATAGGACTGCTGAAGCGTATCCCATCTTGCACTTAATAGGCAAGGATAAAGCCCAGACATGGTGCCAGTCAAGTTCAGGGCTTTGCGACACCATGTCTTTATCATAAAAGAAATTCTTCTTTCACTGACTTATTATTTTACCAGCAGTTATAGTCACACATTCAGGGGTACACAAATATTTTATTACACCTTTTGACCGTCCTACTAATAGCAGCTTGTTGTGTTGTTGATCTGAAGATTGATGCCCATTTAACAGTTGTTGTCATTACAAGCCTCTTTGTATGTGTGTGTGTGTTTGTGTGGGCGCGTGTCTATTCACCTCATATTCCTCCTTGAAACCATAGCCCTGTCCACATTTCATCTGGGTGATGTGTTGGAGGAGGTCTGCAACTCGAATAGCAGGCTGAAACTGGCCTGCCTGGAACTGACCTGCAGGGACAGAAACATTTTACAGAGAAGGAGACAGAAAGAGATGAATATATAATCAAGGGAATAGATACAGTAAGTATGTGGGAGGGAGCGTGGGTGCATGGATGGATGGATCGATCTTGAAAATGATCAAACCCAATTGCAGTTTCAATCTAATTTCCTTGCAGTGAATTTCACTCCTAAGCCAAATGACCAACTTAGGTCCAATCATTAAACCAGCTAATATAGCAAATCTAAGTAAGTAAATGAGTATCTCAGTCTTATTTCTTTCATGTAACAAACTAATGAGCTAAGTACATAAGTCTGAGTTGTTGCAAGCATCTGACAATACAGTATATTAAAATAGACAAATAAGTAACTAAGTGATAACTAACTGACTCTTCCTCTGCATAACTTTCTGAGTATGTCTGATTGTTTAATCGTCAACCTCGCCTACAACAACTTATATCTGGCAGGTACCATCAGCATTATTACCTGTGCTATGAGTCCTGATGTTGCTGCAGTGTCAGAAACAAACTGAGAGAGCTTTTTGACCTCTGCAGCCTAAAACACTGGATGAGTCTGGTGCAGCTGATACGTCCCTCTAGGCTACTTTCTTTTTAATTAATGTCATGATAATAGCTTAAAAGCATATCAAAAGGTCAAATGGTTGCTCAGCAAGAGGCACACTCGATACTCTCTCTAGACCAACCCTTAATGTTACACTTGCACTAAGGTGAACTGCTCTCAGCTGTGGATGACTGTCACGTATCTACACAAAATGAGAAAACGACTCCATGTTTAGAGGTCTTCAGCTTGAGGCCCAGTTTGCTATAATTAACTAACTGACCAACTGATTAACAGAAAAACCGACTGAATAAAACATTAACTGATTAGGTGTCTGACAAAATAACAAACTTCCAGCACAACTGACTAATTGACTGGTTAAGAAATAAAGCCACTGAAAAGCTAACAGACTACCTAAATGACTAGTTAGCTAACGTACTGACTGATACATAGGCTGGCTGCCAGGGGTGGTAGTGCTTTTTAATGCACTGCAGAGGTAAACCCAGAAGCTAGAAACCTTTTTTGACATATGAGCAAGGTCAGCAGTTCCACTGAACCAGATAGGTGGCATTTTGGTGTCTGGTATCTCGGTATATTAATGTTATACATTAATAATACATTATCAGACTAGCTAGCTTAATATCTAACTAACTGACTCTCCAACTATTAAACTGACTGACTTTTACCTAGTTAGCAAGCTAGCTAACTAACTACCAAACTGGATGACTGGTAAGCTAACTGACTAACCACATAACATGACTGGGAACTGCCCATTGGTCCGACAGCCCATTGTTCCGACCATATTAAATGGTGACCGAAATCATCATGACGCCCTGTGGTTAAAGTCTGGTTAGGTTTAGGCACAAAAACCACTTGGTTAGGGTCAGGAAAAGATCATGGTGTGGGTTAAAATTAAAAAGAAAGTGGCAAACACATAAGCCGTGAGCCTGCTCCGCCTCAAGCCAGTCACGGCGCACCATACGCCCGCCGTGAGCCGTTCAGCACCGCGGACAGTCGGACTAATGGGATGTCGAACCAATGGGCTGTCGAACCAATGACATGGACCCACATGACTGACTAAATTAACTGTAATGTTGTGTATTGGCTAACTAATTAATCAGCTCACTAAATAACTATCTGACAGACAATTTAGCTAGCTAGCTTGCTTACTGGCAAACTGGTTGAGTAGCCACCCAACTAATGTTAACTCACTAACATTAACCACATAACTGACTGACTGACTATCTAACAACCCAGCTAGCTAACCACATAATTAGCCAAGGACTAAGGTTGCATTTAACTAACTGACTGAAATATCTTTGGGCTAGCTAACTAATTAATTAGCTAACCAAATAACTAGGCTGACTATTTACCATGCTAGCTTTCTTACTAACAACTTTGTTGACTAGCTACCAAACTGACTGACTAACATTAACCACATGACTGACTGACTGACTATCTAACAATTTAGCTAGCTAACCAAATAATTAGCCAAGGACTAAGGTTGTGTTTAACTAACTGACGGAATTACCTTTCGGCTAACTAATTTAATAGCTAACCAAATGTCTGACTATCTAACTAACTAACTGACTGGCTAACTAAAAGACACCAACTAACAAAATAAGGCCCCAACAACACAGGAAGCATTTAAGCAGCTGAAGGCAGCTCTTTGTCATCGTTTTTAATGATAATGAAGCTTTTTGCTTGCTGTTTTTGTGTTGCTACATGCTTTGCGTTTCTGCGCTCCAGGCGCCTGGCGTTTTTGCTGGAGCACTCTGAACTCCTCAAGTTGAAAAGAAGTTTTAACTCAGAGAGTAAAAGCGCCCAATGCCATCTCCACTGGTGGGCCTTCTGTGGTGGGTTAGTAAACAAATGAAAAGTAGTGGTGCTCAGTCGCTTGGCAGGAACAACAGACTTCCTGTAGTTAGTATTCATTTTTGTAGGCTAGGTCCAATGATAGACAGCAGGTTGTCAAGATATACCTACCTGGAAACGGCCATCATTGAGGGGAAGCTCCTGGACCAACTGTGGTAGGCTACTCCCCATGATCCACCCTCTTTTTTAGGATCTCATGTACCCACACAGACCTCTGTTTCCCTGTGCCCAACAAACTATTTGCATTTCGAATTTTGCAACCTGCCAAACGCCTTCTGTGAGATCTGGGCCCAACTAATAATAACTACCTAAGTTGTGTACACATACCGCTCTGGTAGGAGAGCTCCACAGACTCACAGCCTCCATAGGGAAAACTCTGCAGGGTCAGAGAGGGCTGGGCGAGTGACGGCTGGCTGCTGTCTGTTAACAGAAAGAGACACAGAGAGATGTTACCATGATAACAGACCTCCCCTCTATTACAAACACACTAAGCACACGTACACTGCACACACACTGTGCACGTCATGGACACACTCCAGGTGAGAGAAAACTGGTCGCTGATGACAAGTGCTGAGTTAAATAAGTCACTCAACACCCTGAGCTCTGATTGGTGGGCATGACGTTAGACAGGTAATTGGAATATCTCTCCGCTAATTAAGGCATGGACAGATTGATTGAATGAGTGTATGTGCTCTATTAGTTGGGACAGATGGAGGGATAGATGGAGGGTTCAGGGGACAGAGAGACTGATGAAGGAATGTCACTTGTCAAGAGCTGTGCCAGAGGACCCGGAGGAAGCTTGTAAAAGTGGATGACAGCGATAAATATGCTGCATCCACTCTGTGTCAGAAAAGAAGAAGAGGAAGTTCCAAATATGAGAACTTTACCATACGGTTTATTTCATTCCATTATTTCTTATGTTCTCTTTATTGGTGGGTCACCTTTTGTACCTCAGCAAAGTGTAAAACTGAAATTCTCTTTCGGGCAAATCCAAAATGTGCTTACAAAAGCAGGTGGGTAGGAAATGGAGGAGGACTTGAGGGGGAGAAAGGACAAAAGTCAAATTAAAAAAAGAGAAGAGGAGCATGAATGAGCAGAAAGGGAAATAAATTAGCTTTCAATACTTGGAAGAAACTTATTTTAAGTTTTACATTATTAGAGAGATGTGAAACCCCCCAAAAAGTTATGTTTTAATCTTCTCTTTGTGGTTTTGATAAACAAAATGCCATTTGTTCAGTGCTGTGGCAATATGGCTTCTGACAACCAGCCAGGCCAGACTCACTGAAGTGTGTGTGTGTGTATGTGTGTGTGCGTGTGTGTCTGGAGAGTGGGCTGTAATATAAAACTGCATGACTCTATGTTTTCTTAATGGAGCTATTTGCATGTTAATGATGGCTGTGGATTCATTAGTGGCCTTAAGTGGCTTCTCCGTAAGCCAATCTAAACGCTGGCTTCCCTAAACGAATGAAGAATGAGCCAGCCACATGGGTCACTCTGCAGCTCCTACTTGTGTTTGTGTGTGTGTGTGTGTGTGTGTGAAAGGAAAAGGGGGGGATCAAAAAACAGCCAAGTAGATCTGATGGGCTTATACTGAGTGATTCAAAACAGCTGACAGGTCTTGTGTGAGAAGGGAAATTGATAAAAGAGTAAAAGTCAGAATGAGTAGAGGTGAGATGAAAGGAGAGGAGTTGATAAAAGGGAAGAGAAGACAAGAGGGAGACCGGAGGAGAACAAATGGGAGGCAAGAAGAAGAAATCAGACGGCGGGAGGGGAGAAGAGGCAAGACAAAGGGACGGTAGAGGAAGAGGTGGAGTAAAGATAGGCAAGAGAACAAAAGAGGAAAGACAAGAACGGCAGGTGAGAATGAAAAAGAGTCTCGAGGAGAGGTGGGACAGGAGACAGATGAGGGGAGAAGGTGTAGGAGAGACAGGAGTAAAGAGTAGAGGAGAAAAAGAGGAGGCGAAGGGAGGTCAGGACAAACACAAACTGTCTGCTCACTGAAACAGAACCGGGTTGTACTTCACACTTCCCCTTCACACTGTGTCTCCAAAATAGTTCCACTGAGAATTTACTGCAGCGCTGCATCTTATCCCATAAATCTGTATACACTCCTCTCATCCTGCCTTTCTATGCCCTCCTTTGTACCTCTGAATCAAACTTAACTCCAACAACTGGTTTGCTTTGTCAAATACATTTTAGAAGAAACATGATCTCAGCTTGGATTCAGTCCAGGAAGTTTGAGATCCATCCACTGCACAGAAGTAATGAGGAGAGGATCAGGGTGGATGGTAGTAGGAGGAGATAGTGGCTCATGTCTTGTGTGCTATTAGTCCAATCAATCTAACTCAGAAATGGGCCCAACCTAAGAGAAGTGGCAATAGTAATGTTTTATAGTTTTAATCCTAATACCCTCCTGCACTGTGTGATAAAAGAACACCTTCATGGATTTAGCCGAACATTCTTTATTTGAAGTAAAAAGCAAGGTTTTAACATGTTACAGTTACATGGTCGGGTGAAATGATGTTAATATTGGAGGGTCTATGTACACCAATGCAACATATTTGGTGTCTTTTCCTAAGTTTTTGGGGACAATCTTTTCAATAAAACACTTTTCAAGAGGACTATTACCCAAAAACCTTTTCTTTTTCCCAAATGTTCTTCTTACAGTTTGTGCCACACTGCTCCTATGGGTGTATTCACATCTAAACTGGGTATAAATTATTCCATATAGGCAAAATCATCCGCTGCCATGGTCTCAACTTTCATTCATATGCTGACGACACCCAGCTCTACATCAGTACAAAACCCTCTGCCCATCTGCCCCCTCAGTCTCTCATCAATTGCCTCCTCGCAATAAAATCCTGGTTGACATCTAATCTACTCAAACTCAACAGCAACAGGACAGAGCTCATGGTTGTGGCCCCCAAGGCACTGCTCGGGAAGGTTGGGGATCTAATCCTAACCATTGACAGTGCCACCATCTTACCATCTGCTGAGGTCCGCAACCTGGGAGTGATCCTCGACTCCACCCTCTCATTTCAGACCCACATCAAATCTGTCACCCAATCTGCTTTCCACCACCTGAAAAACATCTCCAGACTCCGGCCATCACTCACCGACTCAGTTGCAGAAACACTCATCCACTCCTTCATCACTTCCCGCCTGGACGACTGCAATGGTGTCCTGTTAGGGGTTCCCAATAAAACCCTGGACAGGCTCCAATATGTACAAAACTCAGTTGCCAGGGTCCTCACCCACACCAAGCCCTGGCAGCACATCACCCCTACCCTCATCCATCTCCACTGGCTCCTGGTCAAGTCCTGCATAATCTACAAAATCCTACTCCTCATCTACAAGTCCCTCCATGTCCTCACCCCACAGTACATAACGGACCTCCTCCACCCCTACACTCCATCCAGATCTCTGCGCTCCTCTGACTCTGGCCTACTCGTCATCCCTCACTCCTGCCTCCAAACTTTTGGTGACTGGGCCTTCAGCGTCACTGCCCCCACCCTCTGGAACTCTCTCCCGCCTATAACCCGCAACGCCCCTTCACTGGACATTTTCAAATCCACCCTCAAAACTCATCTGTTCACCATGGCCTTTTAATTCGATAATCCATCTCATGCCCAGTGTACCATCACACAGTTTTTCTGCTTTCTTCTGTTGTTTGTTATAGTTTTGTTGTTTTTCTGTACTGCTTGTGTTGTCTTGTACTGTTCTGTTGGTGTTATTGTATTGTATGTATTGTAAAGTGACCTTGGGTTTCTTGAAAGGCGCTATATAAATTAAAGTTGTTATTATTATCATTATATATATATATTGAGTATCTATAACTAGGGATGTTCCTGGCGACTAATTTCCCTGTTGACTAAATGGAAATTTTAATTAAGACTAGTCGACTAGTCTAAAAAGAGAAAACACTCAGAAAAAAGTCAAAATATAGCACAATTTATTGTTAAGTATTTGAAACATTGTCCCAAAAAATACCGTGTGCATTAAGAGCCCTTTGAAGCCTTTAATCACAATCTTCAACAATCATGTTGGATTTTAAATGTCACTGAAATACGAGACACTTTGCACCATGCAGTATGAATGTAAACACTGCACATTATCTGACAACAACTCACTTAAAGTTAACAAATAATAAAACATCTCAAAAGAGATTAATTGCTGCTGAATTCATTTTCTAGATCAAAGTACTGCTAAACCGCGCTGGTTTTGTGAGAGGACATCTCTCCAATTTCCCACCGCGCTGTTTTAAAACTCCAGTCTACTCGAGCATTACCACAGGGAGGGGGACTGCTGTCTGACAGCTCTGTAGCACCCACTAGTGGTGGGCGGCTGCATGACAGTTAAGCTGCCTTGTACATGAATAAAACACTAATTGGTTTAACCGACTAATATTTCTGGTGCCGACTAGCGAGGGGGCGGATGTCTAATCACGCACATCCCTGTCTATAACGGCATCTTTACTCTTATTACCACGATCTTATTTTTCCCATTCACTTAAAACAATTTATTTAAATTTGAATAAATTGCAAAAGCAATATGTAACGCTGTGCCTCATGCTGATGTGCAAGAAAAAGACATCCTGTATGTATTAGATGGGATAGGTAACACATACAAGGCAACAGTGGAAACTTATGCTCGTATTTGTTATGCTCGAAAACATCATGAGAAATCGGATGGTTGGTATCTGATGGTTATATGTGAAAGAACATCCTGGAAAACTTATTATTGTTATTTGGATGTCTCAAGAGGTCACAAAAAACTTGAATGATTACTACTGCAATCTTCCCTGGGTCAAACTACTGGTTGACTGGACTATATGTGGTGTTTGGTTTTGAACACTGGGTTAGAAAAGATTGTGGTTTTGGTGAATATTAGTAACTTTTACAGTATGTAGCCAACACTACACATAATCTCTTCCCCAACTTAACAAAGATTTACAAAGCATTCCCCTAAATATTAGAATGCAAAATATTGCTGGGAAAACAAATGAATAAATTACATTATCTGGGTGACATAATGTTTCCCTCTTTTAATTGCTTTCTCTTTTACAGCCCGTTATCGTTCTACTCACTTCACTCTCTAGATATAACTAAAGCTACAGTTGGTGACTTTTACAAAAATAACTTTTTGCAATATTTGCTGAAATCGTCACTACATCCACACAGTAGTACACAAGACAGATAATGTATGGAAAAAAAGTTCCTAATGGCTGCTGTAGGAAAACAACCAATCAGAATCGAGGGGTTTCTAATGAAAATGTCAATCACGTCAATCACGCCTCATAAACTTCGGTTAAACTTGTGGAGACTGATTGAATATGAAGATGTAGAATTAGTAGGTTTGTGACCCAATCGCCAAGTCATGCCAAAACCAAGCTTGGCCCACCAGCTGGAGTAAACAAGCTC